ATGAACTGGTTGGGCTAGGAGAGGGGCGAGCAGGGCCAAAGGTGGCTCTAGCATTCAGGCCTCCTGCCCCACCAGAGCGCTTTCTCCTCGGTGCCCGCTGCACTGGATGAAGACCGGCTTACAGCCTGACTGGCCTGCCTGCCCAACACCTGCTCTCACGGTGCTCCACCACAGGTGAATGCTAAGCTCCCCAGTTCTTTATGGTAGGATGGAGCCTAGAATCTTTCGATTTATGATCTTTCCCTATCCTGTTTTAGTCTGGTGTTGCACGATGTAAGTCAAGGTGTACAAAAATATTTTAGGGAAATGAGATACTGTTCTTCTCAATGTAAAAGTTATTTTCACTTGACAAAAGAACTGATGTTTTACATAGTATACTCCCCCTACTGCCTTAGAGTTCAACAATTAGATGGTAACATATGTGATTGGTAACCACTACTTTCAGAAAGTTATCTAACTATAAAATGTGATACTCAGATTTGGCTCTACCAAAGGTGAAGGTAAACCTTTGATTTTATTTTGACTGCAGATCTTCTGTCACATGAAGCTAGGGTGGCTGTGAGTTAAAGCTCCCTTTGCTTGCTCATTGAGAGTATGAGATCTTCGTAATTCACTGTAGAATGTACTAAAAAAACCCTCGAAGTTAACAATAATGGTAAAAAGTTTTAAAAGTGTGGTAAAACTTACAAACATCTTAAAATTATGAGGCGTACTCTTTCAAAGCCAATAGTTTCATCTAGTGAATGGAGACAAATTAGAAACCTCAGATTGAAAAAGTAACTTTAAAAAAGTATATACTCGCTAAAAGTCCATGAGCCACCAACCGAGCAAGAAATGGAAAAGTGCCAAAACAAAAACAAAAAATCGGGGAATTAGATTATGTTTTCCTTCCAGACCAGACTGGAATTAATCTTTATACGCGTTGGCATCTTAACAGCAAAAGTTGTAGAACCTAAGCTTTCATTCGTTTCCATTGAAGACATCTCTGGATGTGTGTGTGTGTGTGTGTGTGCCTGGATGTGTGTGTGTAAGTGAACAATGACAAAATAGATCTGTCTGTGGAGATAAAAGTATCTATAAGACATACATAATATATTGCTCAATTTGTAGATGCACTAGACAGTAGCATGGATATGCAAAGCCTCGGCAGCCCTAACAGCCACAAGCACAGATACACACATATTTATAACAAAGACTGAAGCAAGATTACAAGATGGGCAACTCTTACTTCCAAGTAACTATAACTTAAAACATTAAGTTTTAGGATGAATTTTGAGTTTTGGCTAGTCAACATGCAAGAGCATTCTTAAATACCAGTAATATGACAAGCAGAAGCATTAGAATTGTGCTGGAGAAGGTAGTTAAAATATAAAATATATATATAACAAGGTACAGATCTCTGTCCTGTTATCATACTGAATTTTTATCTGAATTTCCTTCTCAAAGGAGAAGCGTTTTTTTAAAAAAAGCTTTTAACATGTGTGTAAATAAAGGTCAGATTACTCAGGGACAGAGCTGTGCAAGTAAAACTGTCCCACTGCTCATGCATGCCTCTGCCCATCGTTCAGCACTGTGCACTTGACCTTCAGCATGCAGAAGAGGTTCTGCTCCTCCTACTCTACCTAAGTCTGCTCAGCTGACTCCTTGCCCTCGACAATGGCTGCAGTGCGATGAACTCGTCACTTAAAGCGACTGTGTTGGAGTACATCTATAAGTAGACAGAAAAAGGATGGGACACACAACAAGTCAGTGAGCTGAATTCATTACCTAAGAAACAGACACAGGACAAGCTCTGTAAAGACACCTGTTTCTACGACAGTCAGAAGTATACGCGGTACACATACACGAGTGACAGCTGTAGAGCTGGTGGCTTTGCCTCAAAAGCATCGACTTACTCTTCACTCCCAATACCACATGGTTATTCTGGCGAAAAACAAAGCTCAGACTACATGCTGATATGATTTTACTTGCTACTTTTTGGTAAACAGTGAAGTAGCTGACCACCTTCTATTTATCATTTGCAATCAGAGGCGATGACGCCATGCTGCGATAACGGCTCCTGGTGGCAGCACAGGAATCCTGTGGCACAGGGCCCTGGCTGACCGTCCACTGCCTCGGGGAGAACAACACAGCAAGCTGGATGCTCCCTGAGGGAGAGTGCCTTCTGGGAGTACGGCAGCAGAAGATCTAGTCAAGTAATTTAAAAATTAATCTAGTGAGGCAATAAGGAAAGTTAAATATGCTTTCACACAAAAAATAAAAGGATTGGGTTATTACGCCATTCGTATTAAGTCAATTTTAACCTATGGCAGAACCAAAGTATCTAAAAAGCACTTTTAATGTGTTTCTTGACTCAGGGTCCACCTGAAACTCCCAAGTGATTTCTATGTAATTCTTTAAAAGGAGGTTACAGAAAAGACATCAAAAGACACCATTTTTCATATCATCAAGAAATCTCAACAAACATACTATGTATTTGTAAATGCTTAATGTAGTTTCTATATATAAATGCAAATAAAGCTAATCAATTACTTTTATAAAATTTATTTTTTTAAAGTGATGCTACTCATATTTTGGTGAACTATAGCTTTACATAGGCCAAGAGGGGTGACAAGTATGCTTTCCAAGGGCCAGAAAACATATGACACACATTGCACCAAGAATAGTACTCTCTTACAGGAAGCCTTTCTGATACACATAATGTGTGTTACAGATGAAAGTTTGCATGAATATATGCTGCACAGGCAGACAGAGGGCACGCAGTCCCTGGGTTATGAATGTCCTACTGTCAGACAACTGCTAATGGTGCTTTACGGCAGGGCTGTGAATTGGTTCGGCCATGGCTGCTGAAGGAATATAGGGAAAGAATGGAATTTTATAATTCGGGTGAGTCGTTACAGGGACTGGCACGGGAAAAATCAAGGGTCCAAGTCCTGGAATGGGAGATGCAGAAGAGCTATACGGAGCCCTTTCTGGGGCCAGGGGCCTGAGACTAGATCATTGGCAGGCCTGTGAACAAGCACTCAAACAGGCATTGAAAACAGCTCAGTTGGCACTCATCGTCAAGTGAGCTGCTGCGATCTTTGAGCAGAGTACCACCATCTTTGAAATCCTGTTTTAATGCTAGGCCAACCTGCCCTTTGCAATGATTGAGTGAAATCCTAAACCTCAAAACCAAACCCACTGCCATCGAATCGATTTTGGTTCAATAATGACAGAGTAGAACTGATCCCTAGGGTTTCCAAGACTGTAAATCTTAGGGGAGCAGATTCTTCCCAAGGAGTGGCTGGTGGGATTGAACTGCTGACCTCGTGGTTAGCAGCCCAATGCTTAACCTAAAGTGCGACCAAGGGTCTTTGACCCAATCCCCGACTTGCAACAAATTCTCATCACAATCACCTTCACTTGCTGCATATGTAGCTCTGGAGTCACTGAAAAGGCTTCGAGTCATAACTTGTACTAAATAAGGGTAAAGGAGAACAATATGCACCTGTCCCGACACACCTACAAAGGCTTCAAGACTCTTTAAGATTCCTAACCACTTAGGAAGGGATCCCTGTGGTAACCGGGGACAGCCTGTAATGGTTATACAAAATTTCCAACCTGTCTGGAGAGCCTTATCACAGAGCCACATCGAACTCAATCATTGTTTTTAGGGAGGAACTACAATGGATAAGCCCTGTGTTAGTTACTTTATATTTGCTCTCTTGAGCAATCCTGTACACGAGGAATTATTAGTCTGACTGTCTTGAGGAGGAAATTGAGGTAGAGAAAAATTACTTCATCAAGAACCACCTTGTAATAGTAAACAGTGTTTGAGTTCAAATTTTTCGGGCTTCAGAGACCTATGCTACCTACTCAAGGGGTCAAGGAACAGATTTACTGTAATTAAGTTATGAGAGCAGATGTATGCTACAGAAACATGAATAGAATTGGCCGATGGGAAAACTATTGCACTAGTTAAGAAGCCTAACAGAGACTAAAAATCATGAGTAATTATCTTATTAGCTGTTTGAACATAAAACAAAGTCCAAAATGGAAACCAAATGTACTTGGCATGTAGCACACATTTTGTTGGAAAAAAATTCAATCTAGGCAGAACTATGTGGTTAATAAACTCAAACTTCTACCAGGTGTAAGAGCTGAGCAGCATATATTCTTGAGAGTACATATCCACTGCCTTGGTACAGTTAACAGAACAAATTGAGATATGAGCTCCGCCTCCTAGCTCATGTAAAGTAAAATATGTAAGAAAGGTATATTCAACTAAGTAGTCAGCATTTCTTGAGTAGCTATTATGAGTAGCTATTTGAACATTCTCTTATTTAATTCTCATAAAGGTAATGAACAGACATTTCTAACATATTTTTACTAATAAGAGACACAGATTCACAGAGCTAACATTTCAGAGATTTGTAAGACTCCAAAGACCAAATATGAGGGGTCTTTAAAAGTTCACGGGAAAATTCCATTACCTATTAATTCCATTTTCCATGAACTTTTTGAAGCCCCACATACTATTGAAAATCTGCTGTAGTTATGTTCATTAATAAACAGTGAAAGATGTTTCCTAAAAATTAAAGATTATATTGTTCTGTTGAAAACAGTGTAAATTGGAAAAACTTACTCAAATTCTAATGTTTCTCAAGTCATGGGCACACAACACAACTATATGTGTCTGATAGAGAGCTATAATAAAATAAATTAAAATATACTTGTTATTAATAGCTGGACATAATTTGATAGTTTTGTATTTTAAAAGGTAGTGTTTAATTAAGAAGAAAATGTATGCTTTGAAAACTAATTTTTCAGCAGTCACAAAGTTATCAGAAACAATGCAGAAGCAGCTTGAACGATCATATTTAACAATGCTTACGTGGTAAACGTTACTTAACACAGGAGTGAATAATTCCCTATTTACTCACATAGGCAAATTATGACATTTACTCACTGTTAAAGGTTCCCCGTTTTAACAGGTACTGTACATAGAAAGTGGTTACCTGTGCCTTTTCAGTACTTGTAGGATGGAGCTGTCGGTCGAATACTTTCTTTACGATGTCAACAAACAGACACGTAACAACCATGAGTATTATGGCAAACCAAGCAGAACCACTTGACAGGAGCTGAATAAACACGAAGTACATATTCTGGGACCCCACAAATGGCCTGCAAAGAGAAATGAGCAATTCACCTAGGAGGGAAATGAAAGACTTGAACAAATACCGCACGTCAGCCCTCTGTATTTGAAAAGCATACTTATGAGACAACCCTATGAAAGCGATCAACATTTGAAATTGGTATAATGTAAATAACCAAATAACTGATAAAACAATACAGATTTGTTTAAAATACTTGATTTAATTATACTTTTGATGACAACTATTATCCTTACAGTGAAAGTTGATTATTCTCTATTAGTTGTAGAATGTCAGTAGGAATGTGATGTTATGTCATCACAGTAATGTAGTAATAAAAATTTCAGAGACTGTGGAAAGCAAAAAAAAAAAAAAAAAAGAAAGAAAGAAAAGCAAGCAACAAGATATTTTCTGCTGAGCAACTCAAAGATTGATGGCCAGAGTCTTAGGCTGAAAAGGTCGACTCCGAGGCTCTTCTCAAAAAAATTATTAAGCAGTAATTGATGTGAAAATACTTTTTGGGGGGGCGGGGAGGGGAATGCTTTTATATGTAACTTTAAAAAAGAATATGGGAAAATACAGAAATAAAGGAGATTCAAAAGAAATGAAACAATGGGTAATTATACGTGTTTTTTCATGATCCTAACTGGAAGTTAATGTTTAGACGATCAAAGTTTTTCCTCTCTCACTAATTTCAAAAGTTTTCTGCTTTATAACAAGAATAAATGTACAGCAACCAAATGTGATATGAATTCTACAAAAGAGAGACTTTTACATGTCCATTCCTTACTAAAGACTCTTAAGAGACTCTACCTATGTTGCAAATATATCCATTAATATAGTAGCGTATACAAAGGGCGAAGACAGGCAAACTTCTTAGCCACAGTTGTAAAATAATTCAGCTTAAAAGAACTTCTGTTTAAAAAAAAACAAACTTGTTTTTACATTAAATGTTTATTTGAAATCAAATGAATTTGTATCTAAAGTTCAATAATCTATAAAACAAATTATATATATCGTATATACTCAAGTATAAGCCGACTCGAATGTCTGCCAAGTCACTTAATTTTACCATAAAATGTGCTGAAACGATGAAACATACAACTTTCCTCTAGTTCCTAAATGCTTCCCCCGCCCCACCCCACTATCATGATCCCAATTCTACTTTACAAATCTGGCTAGACCAGAGGATGTACACTGGTACAGATAGGAACTGGAAACA